CTATAAATCCTTACTATACCTCTTCCTCCTACAAATCAACCCTCCGAAATCCAGGCCGAAAGCAAGTTTTTCAGTAGGAAATCTCATAACTAGATTCGAACAATCTCAGATATCTCGCCCCCCTTCGCCGAAAGCCCCCTCTGCCGCCCTCCCTCCCTCCTTTTGGCTCCGCCACTGGATTGGTCAAATAGATGGTGACACTGTCCCTTAAGGGTATATTATGTATTTTGTTTAAGGAATTATATAGAAGCCAATCAGAAAATGGAGAAGTATCACCGATTATATTTAGATGCTGAAGAGAGGCTAGACAGGTTGATAGAACGATGTAGAAATGATAGACAGGTGGACTTGAAGGTCAGTAATTACTTTTTACAGAACCGAAAAAAAAAAACCAGATTAACAATTCTAATTGATTACAATAGTTGGAGGTCATTGACAAAGATGGCAGAATGAAACAATGTAACAAAAAAGCAAAGGGAGGCAACTAATTTATGATTGATATACTTCCTCTTATGGAAAGGTTGAATATTAGCAGGTAAAACTGTATTTGTATCAGACCAATAAGATATAAACTATTAGCAGGTAAAACTGTATATATATTAGACCAATAAGATATAGAATATTAGCAGGTAAAACTGTTTTTATATCTGACCAATAAGATATAGAATATTAGCAGGTAAAACTGTATTTATATTAGACCAATAAGATATAGAATATTAGCAGGTAAAACTGTATTTATATTAGACCAATAAGATATAGAGTATTAGCAGGTAAAACTGTATTTATATTAGACCAATAAGATATAGAATATTAGCAGGTAAAACTATGTTTATATTTGACCAATAAGATATAGAATATTAGCAGGTAAAACTATGTTTATATTTGACCAATAAGATATAGAATATTAGCAGGTAAAACTGTATTTGTATTTGACCAATAAGATATAGAATATTAGCAGGTAAAACTGTATTTATATTAGACCAATAAGATATAGAATATTAGCAGGTAAAACTGTATTTATATCTGACCAATAAGATATAGAATATTAACAGGTAAAACTATGTTTATATTAGACCAATAAGATATAGAATATTATCAGGTAAAACTGTATTTATATTAGACCAATAAGATATAGAATATTAGCAGGTAAAACTATGTTTGTATTTGACCATTAAGATATAGAATATTAGCAGGTAAAACTGTATTAATATTAGACCAATAAGATATAGAATATTAGCATGTAAAACTGTTTTTATATTAGACCAATAAGATATAGAATATTAGCAGGTAAAACTATGTTTATATTAGACCAATAAGATATAGAATATTAGCAGGTAAAACTGTATTTATATTAGACCAATAAGATATAGAATATTAGCAGGTAAAACTGTATTTATATCTGACCAATAAGATATAGAATATTAGCAGGTAAAACTGTATTTATATTAGACCAATAAGATATAGAATATTAGCAGGTAAAACTATGTTTGTATTTGACCAATAAGATATAGAATATTAGCAGGTAAAACTGTATTTATATTAGACCAATAAGATATAGAATATTAGCAGGTAAAACTATGTTTATATTTGACCAGGGCTATGAAGAGATAGAATATTAGCAGGTAAAACTATGTTTATATTTGACCAGGGCTATGAAGAGATAGAATATTAGCAGGTAAAACTATGTTTATATTTGACCAGGGCTATGAAGAGATAGAATATTAGCAGGTAAAACTATGTTTATATTTGACCAGGGCTATGAAGAAATAGAATATTAGCAGGTAAAACTATGTTTATATTTGACCAGGGCTATGAAGAAATAGAATATTAGCAGGTAAAACTATGTTTATATTTGACCAGGGCTATGAAGAAATAGAATATTAGCAGGTAAAACTTTGTTTATATTTGACCAGGGCTATGAAGAAATAGAATATTAGCAGGTAAAACTATGTTTATATTTGACCAGGGCTATGAAGAAATAGAATATTAGCAGGTAAAACTATGTTTATATTTGACCAGGGCTATGAAGAAATAGAATATTAGCAGGTAAAACTTTGTTTATATTTGACCAGGGCTATGAAGAGATAGAATATTAGCAGGTAAAACTATGATTATATTTGACCAGGGCTATGAAGAAATAGAATATTAGCAGGTAAAACTATGTTTATATTTGACCAGGGCTATGAAGAGATAGAATATTAGCAGGTAAAACTATGTTTATATTTGACCAGGGCTATGAAGAAATAGAATTATATAGAAGATATCCAAGCTCTACAGAAGGTGATGATGGTTGTGATAAAGGTCAGCTGGTGTTCTCATCACTTTAATCTTATTCCCTCTATTGAGCACTGTTATAATTGTTTCTGGGGCCTGGTTCACAAATTAGGGGTCAGATTTATTCTTTGGAGGAGAGGGACATCTGTTGAGGTTTAGATTCGGCAAATCTGAGGATTTGTAAAGGCGTGTCTGAGAAGTTCTCCGTCGAGAAATGTTTGAAAATATGATTTATCTGGTGCATTTGTTTTTTTTGGTTTTTTTTGGGAGAGGGGGGAGTTGAGGGGGGGTGTTGAAGCACATATTTCGACAGTAAAACGTAAAGTCATATTTTATATTTTTTTAAGAAATAATATGGAGGGAACCATTTTTATAGGGGGCACCTGTACCTAATGACCTATTACCCACTGCAGCAGGTCATTTAGTAATGGAAATGGTGATTAACAGTTTTACGTTTGTGAAAGTAAGAATTCAGTAATCCAGTATTTTTTTTTCAACTTTTCCAGTTTGGACCAGTGATGATGAAAGTAATCCGAGTAGTGGAAGCGAAAGTAGGGAAAGTAGTGCCGGTAGTAACAGATCACGCACCAAACCAATTAGTAAACATCCACCATTTAATAAAGATCCTCGCCATCGAACCAGAAATAGACCCGATCTCCTTTCTCCTTTACAATTAAATATACCAGCATATGGTAAGGTTTAGTTTACTATTAAATATACCAGCATATGGTAAGGTTTAGTTTACTATTAAATATACCAGCATATGGTAAGGTTTAGTTTACAATAAAAATGTTATTTATTACCTGATCTCTGTTGTAAGATATACTGGCCATAGAGAAACATGGTAGAATCACTGTCCAAACTAGTATTAAATTATAAGGTTTGAGCAGAGTTCACTGCTATTTGGATGAAGAGAATCACTGTCCCTTCTAGTTATTGATAAAGATACGGGGTTCAGACAATGATTTTAATCTTTTTCAGCGAAATCAAGTCGTGATTCAGGACTGAGCTCTGGGGATCCATCTCCCAACATGAACACGTCCACTACCTCCTCTCCCAATACGCCTACCCAACCAGGTTACACCGAGGATGTTCTTGCTAGTCCAGACGTAGCATCTCTAGTCGCCTCCAGACCACATTTATTACGTTCCCAGAGTACCACTGATACCAATAATCAACTGTCCAGAATACAGGATAGATCTAGTAAGTATATTCCTTAGTTTTATTGTACACAACGTTTCTACAATTTACATTGTGCAGAATACAGGAAATATTTAGTAAGTGTTTACATTGTTTACTTTAAAAAACGCATCATTCTGAATTGTTTTTAAAGGGTTAATAATAAAAACAGAGCGTTATATTTAAAACCTTCAGATTAAGTGGGATACACATTTATTATCAATTTGGTGTATATTTTTCATTATTCCGTAAATCACTATTTCTGCTAGCCTGTCTTCAAATAGAATCCAGGATGTTTCCACGAAAGAATATCCATTGTAATAATAATAATAATTTATTTCTATAGCGCCTATAATCCAGCAAATGCTGCTCCATGGCGCTGTTGTACAATATGGCATATTACAAATCAACATAACATACATAGAAAAACAAACAAACAATGAAACCATCTTGTAGTCAAGAAAATAAAGTGATATGAGATAACATTATTATTATATTACAGGGGCAGCAACTCTGTCCATCTCTAATTCAAGATTGAGAGAAATAACAGATCCTATAGTACAGATGTTGGTTCAACTTCATAAAATAATCTACATCACACAGGTACACAGAGCTTTCTTTCTAATGTAATCTAAGGTAATGTGGCAGGTTTTGAATATGAGGCAGGAAATTCTCATCTTGATACCAGTGCGCTACTGAGCGTTTCAACTCCCTGTCCCAGTACTGTAAGTTGTAATGTAGTTCAATAAGGTACAGGCTAGTAGATGGTAATATGTATTTATATTTTCAGCTACCACCAACTTTAAGTCCCAATTTTGAGAGAAGAAAAATCGATGAGTATAAAAGAGCGTTATTTTCACGACACAGTCATGCTGTCAGTTTAAAAACTGAGTTAAAAAAGGTCAGTACGTCAGTGATTATACTTCAATCTTAGACTCAAAGAGAAAAATAGTATGATATATCAGATACATAGTATGCTTACTCTTCTAAACACCTGATACCACTTTTCATTATCAAATACTTACTCATTTATAATTGATATACTTCTTCTAGACACCTGGAAGCGTATTCTCGAAACGAAATGTTAGTGCTAGGATGTCCTAGAGTCTTAACATCTAACACTGTATCTAGGATATCCTAGGGTCTTAACTTCTAACACTGTTTCTAGGGTGTCCTAGGGTCTTAACTTCTAAAACTGTTTCTAGGGTGTCCTAGGGTTTTAACTTCTAACACTGTTTCTAGGATATCCTAGAGTCTTAACTTCTAACACTGTTTCTAGGATGTCCTAGGGTTTTAACTTCTAACACTGTTTCTAGAATGTCCTGGGGTCTTAACATCTAACACTGTTTCTAGGATATCCTAGGCTCTTAACTTCTAAAACTGTTTCTAGGGTGTCCTAGGGTCTTAACTTCTAAAACTGTTTCTAGGATATCCTAGGGTTTTAACTTCTAAAACTGTTTCTAGGGTGTCCTAGGGTCTTAACTTCTAACACTGTTTCTAGGATATCCTAGGGTCTTAACTTCTAACACTGTTTCTAGGGTATCCTAGGGTCTTAACTTCTAACACTGTTTCTAGAATGTCCTGGGGTCTTAACATCTAACACTGTTTCTAGGATATCCTAGGCTCTTAACTTCTAAAACTGTTTCTAGGGTGTCCTAGGGTCTTAACTTCTAACACTGTTTCTAGGGTATCCTAGGGTTTTAACTTCTAACACTGTTTCTAGGATATCCTAGAGTCTTAACTTCTAACACTGTTTCTAGGGTGTCCTAGGGTTTTAACTTCTAACACTGTTTCTAGAATTCCCTAGCACTAAGATCGTTTCAATAATACATGGGCAGTTATGACTATTCATTATGAAATACTTCTAAATTTATACTAGCTGCCAACTGTTTACCTTTATATTGCCGATATTTTAAGATACAGCACATGTTATTTTGTATTGTGTATTCTGTGTATATTACAGTTAATGCAAGGTTGTCATGACGTAGTTGATATTCTGACCAATCCAGCTGATATTTTACGACGACCACTGTCATCAGGGTTAGATCGTGATCCCTCGGGTAATATTTTTCATAGATTTAATCATCTTCACAATGTCAAGCTATTACTTCATCTTATACCTTGACTGCAATAGCTGCTATTCATGTACCATTGAAGTTTGTATATCAGGGATTTTATTGGAGTGTACCCAAGCGACAATAGCCAATCAGAGCCCTTGAGTTGGACTCGTGTCGCCTTTCCCTCCTCTAATTCCTATTAATGTGAAGTATTTTAAAACGTTGATCTATTGTATAATTACAGGTCTATGTTGTTCTGATCGAGAAATAAAAGAAATGGGAATAACATATGAACAGTTACATAATTTAATAGAAAAAACTCTGAATAGTACTGGATATTATAGTGTAGCTTACAGACAGAGAGAAAAAACACCACCATTTAGTCCCATTGCTAAACACACCTCTAGACTTTCTTGATTACTTCACACTCACTGTCTAGTGGTGTCAACCTCCCTAGACTGGGGATATAAATAGGGAACAGACTGGGGATAGTCATGGAGGCAGAATTCAAAATGTGGCCACTTTGTGGAGGCGTCTTAGGTGCAAGCCTCTCAGGGAGAGTTCTCTCGAGTAAATTTATTATAATATATTAATATCCCTGATTATGTTTAAGTGAAAACTGCTGATGTATAAAACTTCCCTCGACTGTTCTTTTATGTGTTTCTATTATTTTGTCTTGTGAAAGAGTCACTATGCCGTAACGTTACACAATTTTTTGTCTTGTGAATAAGTCACTATACTGTAACGTTATGTAATTTTTGTCTTGTGAACGAGTCATTCTTCTGTAACGTTAAGTAATGTTTTGTCTTGTGAACTAGTCACTCTTAAAAACAAAACAATAAACGTATTCCTTTACTGTTTATACCATTAATCACATCTAACAAGATTTGACAGGTTGACAAAGAAAACCTGATAGATTCCATTGTACAGTGATAGGAGACTACAAGTTTCCACAATCCAATATTTTAAGCAGCGTATTAATTCCGTCCTAAAATAAATGTTTTTATTGTTATTATTGTTGACTATTATAGTTGTTGATTTATTTATCAGGTGTATAAGAGAATTAATTTATTTCAATATGATGTTTTGTGTTTTTATGTAGCCATGAAAATAGTCGTATCTTTCTTGAATTCATAATTTCTATTTTTATTTATTTATTTTTTATCTTGTTTTCCGGTACCATGTTTGTGTTTTTTAAAATTTTACTTCAATTTAAAAACATCTTGTTAGTTGTATTAGAATGACAATAGTATGTTTAATATGTTTAAGCATTGGACTTGTCTATTTGTGTGTTTTTAAAGAACCATCACAGTAAAGGGTCCCACACACCATAGTTACCAGTTGTGTAT